AAGTTTCAAGTACGTCTTCGACGTCGTACAGCGTAAAGAACTCTCACTTTTTTTCTTTTTTTCTTTTTTTTTTGTATGTTGCACAGATTACCTTCACACGGATACGGAAGTATTTTTTATCTACATACAGAATTCAAACGTTATTTCGAATGGTTGGTTTTACTTTACATTCTATAATACTAATCGATCGAAATTTATTATCTTTGATGCAGAGAATTGCCAAAAGAGATCTAGCGTTTGCACCATAGATGGGCATGGAATTGTATTCGACCGGAAACATGTGAAATAAAAATTTGTGCAAGTTGTTTATTTTTTGTTTGTCAATTTTGCCCTTCGTTGGTTCTTATTCTCACAAATGATTCGTATGCTATTAAATGTTGAAACTTTGCGAGTGTTACCGCGAACGAGAATCGTGTTTGGCAAAAAGTTAGGTTCGTTAGAGACATCGAAATATACATGTAACGATAATCAAGGTACAGATGTAGTTATGGCTAGTGATGGAACTAATATCGAATCGTATCATCGATATTAAATATTAGAATATCGTTTTATATATCTAGCCGTTTTGATATTTACATGAAAATACTGATACATATCGATTTCACACAAGACATATTTGGTATTAATTGTTCGTACTAATATCGTGTATGATAACGAGCAAATACTGAAATTACTGTAAGTTGTGTGTGTTTATTAGTAAATTTAAATGAGATCGAATGTATGTTCGAGAAATGAAAAATTTCGATAGATTTTATCGAGTGCTTTGGTGTTGAATTGTTTGAATATTATTGATATGTATCGTATAAATCCCATCGCTACAGTAATAGCTACAAGTCTACCGAACGCGATAATGCCAATGATCTGCCATATTTTTTTTCCGCACATTCGCACATTCTCGAGGAAAGAGGTATGAATAACTCTGTAACGCACATCCACATACGTATCTCACTGATATCTATTTCTGGCAATGATGAGTGCGTATAAGCGACGAATGTGTCCGACTCGTATAGAGGCGTATAACGATATCGAGCAATGTAAAAATAAATTCATCCGTGTTCACAATGGCTGCACTCTGACTACACACCACCTTGAAAATTTCTCTCGTAAAATACGTATGAGCGAGGAACGTACGCGAAGAAACTCGTTGTAGCGAGTCGCCCATCGCCCATCGCCCATCGCTCATTTTCCCCCCTGTGTGAATATCTGACAGAATCAAAGTTCGTTCAGAGTTTATCACGTACACAATATTCATTCGATACTTACTGATGTTATTCTCGCGATTCCTTGACAAATCACTGATCCAATTGGCACTGAATTCACTGAGCTTTTCTTTTCAAATTCTACAAAGACTTATCAAAACGTTCGTTTCCGACAAACCAGTCGAAATAACATTTAACACTTCTCGTCACGTACTAAAGTGTCGCGCAAGCTGCGCAGTCCATATATACAAACTTTCCTTCTAGTGGCTTCCGGAACTTTCGAGAATGGGTACGACGGCAGTTTCGTAGCGCTTATTCGGTGACGTCAGTAACCCAACTCTTGATTATAGATCGAAAACACGATCAACCGCGCGCTATACAAACTGTCTAACGTTTCTACACCGATAAATAAATAAGTACTTTGGAATTATCGAGATATTATATATGCTCATGGCATTACTAATATTTTACTATTACACAGAGATAATGTGAATTTGATACAATCGATATTGAGATTTCGATTGAGATGTAAAAATGTCTAATGAAAATATTATTCTTGCTTGTTACAGCCTGAAGTCAGCCGAGTATAGTATAGGTATATGGTATATACCGGGTGAATTTTTCGCGTGCTTACGTATATTATATGTATATACACTTTGGCAAAAAATTCGAGGATTTTACTGAAATTACCAGACTACGTATAACGTAACGATGCTTTTCTCATCGAATTTATTTCTTATGAACTTATATGTACATACGTTACGGTTTATAATACATATCACATGTTTCACATATGTGTAACAAATATATTATATTATTAGAAGTTGATTCGAATTCATCTGCTCAATCGTAAAAACAATGCATGTCTGCATTCCCGTGAATTTGGAGGCATATACTTGTCGTAAAAATCTTGAACAAATTCCTCTACTTTGAAACCAAATTTCTGGTATAAAATTAATGCTGGATTAGTGGCCGAAACGTGTAACGTAACATCTTTGCCCATGCATGTTTGAATCAAGTGATAAAGCATAAACGTTCCTATGCCAGATTTACGCCACTCAGGCCTGGTTAAGAAAAATGAAATGTACGCTTCATTGTAACCAACATCAGGAACTAAAATTGCAAATCCTATGACTAATTTCTTGTACAAAACGACGCAGCTGAAGTCAGGATATTGTAGACATTCGGTTACTGAAATAATAAAACTCGATTATTTGTTTAGTTTTTGTTAAATATAAAGTTAAATCATTTATTACTTACTATATTATTATATGTTATATTATATTACGTAGTTTGTTACACATACGTAAATATATCTTTACTTACAATCAATACCAGGCCAAAAAAATTGACTACATAGACTATTAATCGCTGGAATGTGTTGTGGTCTGACATAAGAGTAATCGATTGGTGCCGTTGCCGGCAATTTCCACATTGGATTCAATTTATTCGCTTTGGTGCAAAGTTCTTCCATTACTCTTAGCCATAAAGGACGACACGAAGTATCTCTTCGTATAAACGGTTTCAAAAGTCTCTTCGTATATGGACTATGTACAGATGATGGTTCGTTATAACCTTGCAATCTTTGTTCGAATGAACTCAAGTCGTCGCCAAAAAATCTGTCCAATACCCTGCCAAATTCTTTTAAAGGTCTGTCAGGTATTTCTGCTTTACATCCATAATGATCAATATCCAGTAAGGGTAAACCATATTCCCGTTTTAATTTTCGTACAGTTAACTTTCTATAAAATCGTCTAATTTCAGGGGCTGCGGAATTCAGAGCAGATTTATTTATTTGTTGTAATAAATATGTTTCCTCTTGATGCGTCATACGTGGAACCTTTTCTACTGTGAAACAGAATTTTCAACATTCTTATATAAGCATAAATTGTCTAATGACCATGTGAACAAATGTTTACCAATAATATGATTTCTTTGCCAGGGCCATGGACGCCGTTTTATCACATTGAATAAAGAAGTAGGTGGTTGTTCCTGAATAGAACTCGGACTCTTGTTACTTCCTTCTCTGTGTTTGTCTTCTTCCTCGTTCTCGTTTTCTTCTTCTTCTTCATTTTCGTCTTCCTCCTCTTCTTCTTCTTCTTCATCTTCATCTTCATCTTCATCCTCTTCTTCTTCTGCCTTTATCCGATCTATGTTAATATTAGCGATAGTTTCAGGAGCAACATCTGTATTAGACGTCCAATCGGATGTAAAATCGTCCAGTAATTGGGAAAAATGAAAGCCATTTGTTTGATACTGGCAGTCCCTTATTAAATCGGATAAGGATGGTGTATCGCTTTGCTCGTTAAGTATCGTATTATCTTCGATTTCCATATCTGAAATTGTTAAATAATATAAATAAATTTTCCTTGTACTCTATTCGCATTGCGTACAGACGTACATACTACTTAATTCATCCTCCTCGAGCAAGAAATCTAATAACGTCTTGTTAGGTTGTACATAAGCTTCAGAATACGCGGAACATCCTTGAGTTTTTACGACGTCGTTTCCATTAATACAATCTTCGCCAACTGAAATCCTTGATTCCGACAGAGTTGGACTATGGTGCAATTGATTCGTTGATTTCACTTGGTTACCAACTTGTTTCTTACGATCCAAAATCATCTTTTCGTCTATGGAACATAAGTTACATACAGAATTATATTTTCTACAAGGATTCTATGAGACAGCTGTAAATATTATTACTTTTAGCAATGAGAACTTCAGGTGGATCGTTGTCTATCAACTTCCACCAACCAGACTCTCCTAATTCTGTTGTTCCTGATTTAAAAAAAATTCCACTATAATGAGAAAGAGTTCCCGATATGGTACCGATCCAGTTCTTTTTCCTTTTACTAAAAATGGAATGAGATAATAATTACATACGCATTTATATATTTCTTGGCAAACATATTTTTTATTCATATATATATATATATATACGTTAACTTACACAGTTTTCTTAAATAAGTAATCCCAATTACGATCAACAAACGTACTGATATCAGATTTCCAATGAAAATATCCCCTTTTACTAATACCGCTTGATTTTTCACGCAAGTTATACAAAGTCAATACAATAACGTTAAGCCAAGGCATTCTGTTACGAGCTACTGTTTCTCCATCGAAAGGACTACAATTATGACAATAAAATTCAAAGAATACATCTCCTACAAACGATACTGGAACAGTTCCTCTTTTTAAGCATTCTATATGAATTTTCTTTGAGCATCCGTTACAGCGTAATGCTGGTTTATTGTATGGATCGCTGAGACATTTACAGTTCTTGCAAACATCTGTCTCAAGAAAATCGACAGGTTTCTCTGCAATATTTTGGCTATCAACCATTTCTGACGTTGTTTGTTTACGTAATAAATTATGGAATTACTCCTATAATGTTCAAATGTGATTCCCTGAAGTTTAAGTTAAAACTATGTGAAAAAATTACATTACAAACATAGTTGTCCCAGACTGCCCACATTTATTCGATTGTTCATTGACTTTCTACAAAACAATTTAGGCACTTCATGTATTTATTATTTTAAATACAATTAAATAATAAGTATAGAAAATAATAAAATAGTTAGCCCTATGTGCGATTCGTGGACTGTCATGGACACGAAAACGGTATCGCCATCTAGCGTTCAAAAGGCCGAACTAATCTTCAAAATCTCATTAATATCTCATTTTCCTTATGATTAACTTGATAAAAATTAAATAGTGAGTGTAGAAAATAATAAAATAGTTAGCGCACGTGTGATTACGCCAATAATTAAATTTTAAAAAATAATTAATTTAATATTTGTTTGAGTCCTAGTAGCGCTATCGGTGGCAAAACGCCCAAGTTTGTCGAGAAATATTTCCAGTTTTTTACCGCTAGATGGCGCATCAATTTAAAATCTGGGGAAAAAGTTAAATACAAAAAAAAACATTACTTAAACTCAATTTAATAATGATTTTAAATGTGAATATTTCTAATGATATCATAATGATTACATCGATAAATTTATTTCCGGCAAGAAATTTGTTTAATGCAAGAAAGAGTTGTTGAAATATTTTTACAAACATTCAAATCAAAATTCCTGGTATTGATCATAGGTTATTGCTATGGAAATGTAAACAATGCGTGTCAACTTGAAAAAATATCTTATTCTTTAATTGAAAAGTAAAGAAGAATATTCGAGATGACTGTTACCTTGCAACCCAGAGTATTTTATGGTTTAAACACTAACATAATTTCAAATGCACATTATATTACCGATGCAGAAGTTTTATACCCCATTGGAAATGTAATAGTAATTCATAATATTCCACAACGTCGACAAAAATTAATACATCTGTCTGATAAAAATGAGATAAATATAATATCTGTTACACCTAACAAGTAAGTTGCAACGCAATGTCTATGCTTATTCTTTGTTATTATTCTTTTATGTGACAAATACATTTCTGTTTTTGTCACAAAGAAAGTATGTTGCAACATGCGAAGTTGGAGAGAAACCTACTATATCTATTTACGATCTTCAAACATTAAAAAGGAAGAAACTGCTTGGCATACCCTATGATGCTCCCAATGTAACTAAATTCACTTCTATATGCTTTAGTTTCGATAATAAATATTTAGCAGCGGTTACAGGATTACCGGATCAAACGATGCTTTACTATAGTTGGGAAAAAGGAAAAATGGAATCTGTTTATAAAGTAGGCAGTTCTCAAAATCCATTAGCTGTTACAGAATTGTTAGCCTGTAATCCATCGGATGCAGGAGTGGTTGCGATCGGAGGTCCACATACATTTAAATTTTTAACTCTTTCCGACACTGTATGGCGTCCTTACGGGTTCTCTAAAGCGGATAATATACTTGTATGTTCAATGACTTGGTTGAATTCAGACAGATTATTACTTGGAACTAAAGATGGTAGAATACTTTATTTAGAGAATGGTGACTTGAAAAATATGTACGATATGAACGGTACAATGTCTATGAATCTCAGAATTCGTGAAGAATATGTCATACCTGACAGTAGTTTGATAATGGATGTTAGACAGGATACCTTATGGGAAAATAATATCCGTTGTTTAAATGCATTTTCGAAAGGATTTGCATATGCATTTGGTCCAAGAACAATTGTGATCTTTGAAAAAGATGGTCAACATAAATATGTAAAGAGGAATATTTATATAATTCCATTGCAAGTATCAAAGGATGATAATCAAAATTTATATCGAGTCAATACCATAAACGTTAATGTAAGTTTGGATCGACTGTTAATTACAACTGGTTGGCCCCAATTGTTTTACGCAAGATTATGGGGTCCGGATCTAAATATAGATCCAGAACCACAGGAATTAAAAGTGATGGGTCAAGCCTTACATCACGGTCCTATAAGCAATCTTTCGATGTGTACGTGGAAATCGATATTTATGACCTGTGGAGAACTCGACTATAGCGTAAGACTGTGGGACTTTGAGACAGGAAATTTACTTTTACTTAAACAATACACAGAAGACATTTGTGGGATTTCTTTACATCCTACGGGTCTTTTTTGTTTAATTGGTTTCAGCGATAAATTACGTTTTATGAGCATATTAATAGACGATTTATTACCTATGGAAGAATTTCCTATAAGATGCTGCAAGACTGTAAAGTTTAGTCATGGTGGTCATTTATTTGCCGCTGTTAATGGAAATATCGTACAAATTTACACTACTGTCGGTTTTGTCAGCTATTTTATTTTGAAAGGGCACACTAGTAGAGTGAAGGCTTTATTATGGTCGCAAACCGACACAAAGTTACTAACATTAGGTACCGAGGGTGCTATATATCAATGGGACATGAGCACTGGTCGACGTTCCGCAGAGATAATTTTAAGAGGACTTAATATACACGATATTGCTTTATGCGCAGATGAATTGATTTCGTACTGCATTGTCAACGACAGTTTTATATACGAGATAAAGGATAATGTAATACTTTACTTAAGTCGAGTACCGTTTGTCCTACTTTGCATTACTAAAATATACAAAAATAATATAAAATGTCTGACTTAGGTAACTCGAGAGTATAGTTTTCCAGGAATAACCATGCACAGTATGGTATTAGGAAAAGAGGACCAAGCTCTATTTCTTGTTTGTATCGGAGGTACTATTTTGTCAGCAAAATGTCCACTTCAAGAGCCAGTATATTATACAGATTTCAAGATTCACTCAGTTGATATCACAAAGGTAGAAAGAAAAAAATGTGTTATTAGGATATTTCAGAGTATATTATATATTTTAGTTGCTTTGTTATTTGTACGTGTATTAATAGCAACTCGAGACGATTTCTGCTATATTAGGAAAGCATTTTACAGGTTCTTTAAAATGATTGTATTGATTCAAATAAACAAGACAATCAGCAAGCTTAGCTTAGCATGCTAAGCTTAGACCTTTTCTGTAATTCGAGTGGTAGGTGATTGAACAATTACGATGCGATTAAATTGATTATCACGTTCTTGTAGTTGTCAGGAAATTAATGAAACTATTACAAATGTTGCCCAATAAATTCTGGGAAATCCTAACAGAACCTATAAAAGTACAATAAACTTTACAATTTGTCTTTCTTCTTGTAGATCGCTCTTTCTTATAACGAACAATGTTTAGTATCTACCGGTATCGATGGTAGCTTATGTATTTGGAAAGTATATTATTCAGATGGAAAAGGGACAATAGGCAAAGAAGTAGCATATACAAACGAGGTGTTAATTAGTAAAGGTGACCTGGAAGAGAAGATACGAACAATTGAAGATTTAAATGTAAGGATGAGAGAATTGGAAACTGAACACGGGTACAAAATGCGTCAGGTGGAAGTTGTGCATAACGACAAAGTGCGAGATTTACACCAAGGATATTGCGAAGCCATCGAGGAACTGAGGGATAAGATAAGTAGATTGCAGGAAGATCATAAGGGCGAACTCAATTCGATAAATGCTGAAATTGTCACCCTGAAAGAAAATCACGAGGAAACGATGAAACTAGTGGAAATGAATTACGATGCGAAACTTATAACAGAATACGATAGATATTTAGCTTTGGAAAACAATATGAGCGGTATGCGACAAGATTATGAGAAACGGTTGCAAGAGTTAGAGAAATTCGGAGTGGATGAATTAGAAAAAATGATGACGAAATACGAGGCTCTTCTACATACGAAAAAATTGCAGCTGGAGGAAACTCAGGAGGAAATGACGCATCAAGCACGAGTTCACGAACAAATAACGACGCAAATAGAAGATGATGCCGACCAAGAATTACTGGAAATAAGAAGAAATTACGAAACACTGTTGCACGAGGAAAAAGAGTCGAACGTACGGTTGAAAGGAGAATCTGGAATGATGCGAAATAGGTACATAGCTAGCCAAAAAGAAGTAGAAGAGTTGAAGAGGCAAGTGCATCGTGTTCAAAGCGAGTACAGTTATTATCAAAAATCTATGCAAGAATTGGAGAAAGATAAGGAAGATTTGAAGAAGGAGATAGACGAGAGGGATGTTACGGTTCAAAAGAGGGAACGTCAAATATACGAGTTGAAACGTAAGAATCAAGAATTGGAAAAGTTCAAGTTCGTGTTGAATTATAAAATAAGGGAGTTGAAGAATCAAATAGAACCGCGAGATCAGGAGATCAGAGAGCTCAAGGAGAAGATTCAAGATATGGAAACGGAGCTTGTAAATCTCCATAAGACTAACGTCAGTTTAGAATTGCAGCTATACGAATTGAGAGAAAAATTGGCTGCTGCGAGACAAGAATATCAAAATGAAATGCATCGTAGTAGAAAGTGTGAAAAGCTTTTGAAAAGAATTCGAGTAGATTTGCTCGATGCCTCAGGGCTTGTGCAAGATCCACAAGCTTTGAAAACCACCACAACCAAGTTGTATCACATGTACAGTTCGAGTGAGGAATTCTTACGCAGTCGTAAAGCAGATCTAGACGCGCAATGCGAGTTCACGAAACAAAGGGATCATCTCGAAAGAACGATAGGTTCGCTAAAAAAACAAGTTTTTCAGGATACGTCTAGCGGTGACAAGGGCATAGATAAAACGGTAGACGAAAATATAACGTTGATCACAGAACTAAATGCACTAAGGGAGGAATTGAAAGATGCAAGGAAACACATATTACACTTGGAGGGTCTTGTAGGTTTGACTGCGAAAGATGTAGAGCCATCGGAAGCGAAGAAAAAGTTGGAAAACGCGTGTTACGGATACGAACAGTTGCAGAATAAATATAAAGTTCAAATGCAGGAGTGTCAAAATATAATAAACGCATTGAAGGATGACATGATGAAACTTGTAAGCAAATTACCCTGCGAAGAGTCGATGCACGAAGCTAAAGGAAACTTTTAAAGGCTCATACGTACATACATGTATCGTAGTAACGTAAGTTTGAAAGCTGAAAATGAAAGTAAAGTAGATGCGTGAAAAATACTGTAAAACTCGGATGGTAGTTTATTCAAAGAATAAAATTATTGGTAACAAAAAGAAATTGAGAAATACGATAGTATCGTATTTTTGCTAGTATCGTACTAGTTGGAGACATTTACAGAATAAATGGAAAAACAGCTTTCCGACATTTTGGATATTGGGAAAATTCCTTCTTATACGCTTTATGTTTTCCTAATGCCCAGAGAGTCATTTGATATGCACCCGCAAGAGTAAACACAGCAGCTGAAAGTACAATAATAATTTTATAATGTTATATTCGGTAATTTTTCTTAATAAATCATAGGAATAAATTCATACCTGGAAGACACAAAGTCATGATTGAGAACCCAATCCAACTACCAATTTCGTAGGTATAATTTGGACACGAGACAAAATTGAAGAGTGCGGTGAAAGGATTATTAGTGGCTACAGGTATTTTTCTTACTGTAGTTCCCGCTGGTCTTAGGCTCCTCAGAGCTAAATGAATGCTCAGGTTACCCAGTTCACAAAGCGTAAACATTGTTAGACCGATAGAAAAGTTAAGTTTGCTTGGCGCTGTATACAATGGATGGTTTATATGATATGCAACATACATAGCGAACAGCCAGTAGTACGAACAATTTTTAAAAAGGTTACGCAGTGGCATTGTCGCATGGCTAAACCGATGCACGAACAATGTTTCTAAGAGCCGTTTCGCGTAATGCACCGACCAACAAATAGCTGCCACACTGTAATCATATAAGATTAGAGAGTTTTAATCGGATGGCTGAATTATTTGGGCGAGAAAATGTCCATCTATGTATACTTACTGAACAACTGATTCGATCTTGGATGTCTCGACATTGCCATAAAAAATCCATGGGCGTTGATATATCCATAAATACAAGACCAATGGACCAGCATATTCCACAAGGAATACAGTTTTCCAACTGATTTGAGGCCCAAGGTCTTTGAAGTATAATTTTCCACCATCGAAAATGGATAAACTTGTTAAGGTATCCGAATCAGATAAAGGCTTTCCTTTAGGATCTAGCCGTAAGCTTTGTCTCTGAACATACGGTGCTTTCATTGTCTTGAATAATTCTTCTTTAATTTCTCTTATGGTGGTAGAAGGTTTTACCTTAAACGACATGTTACATTACACAAGAGTAACAATATTCGTATGTTTTAATTAATAATAAAAAAAGTATTAATTAAAAATGGAAATTAGGATCTATAAAGGTAGAAAAAGTTTGTCGTGGAATTTGGATAAAGGGAATCGTTATAATTTATTTAATGTTTGATTAAGGGTTTGCCACACTATCGCACATTGCATAAACTGTTAATCGTTAAAGTTCAACATTTACAAGATCCGTAAAAACGTATGTGTACATGGGGAATCAGTGGTAGAAATACGATGGAACACTTATTGCTTATTCTGTTGAACTTTGAGATTATTTGTTTGCTACTTACTGGTAAATTTGCCAGGTATTTCGATGACTTGGCGGTCAAGATTTGAATCTAAAATAAAAATGAAAGTACACGATCGAGTGAGTTGATTTTTCGATATAGTCATCAATGAAAATTTACTGTAAATGTTTAGTGCATAAATACCTCCATCGTCATTGGTAATTAACTCTTTTCTCGTAAGTCGAAGAGGACAACTATTTTTGCAAGTATCACGCTAGAAGTGCACTATAATACTGCGCGAGTGGTTACAGCGAGTGGTATAACGCAGCGCTGTAATCGTTCGATCGCACGACCCAACAAGTTTCTTCCACCAACCAATGAAATTCGTTTGTTTTTTAGATTTTAAAGCGACATCATCGAACTCGTACCAATGAAATCGTTATCGGATACACGCAAAGATGTACAATTTCGAACTTTGGACACTCATTAGACTTTATAAAGGTCCACGCTTCTATTTAACGATCACTCGGTCATACGGAATTTTTCCAGCACGTTATTCGGTTCACGTTATGTATATTCACGTAACCTTCCATTTAAATACATGTATAGTAAGATACTTGTAACATAATTTCTTATACTTTTTCTTTGTTTCGTTTAGTAAATAACGCATTCGTAAATTGAACAGCATATTCGGTAACAAAAATATTTCTCGCTATTTGCTTGTTTGTTTGTTTCGTCGTAATCTTGAAATTCAAGGTGACGAATTGTATTCAATTTAGTTGGAATTTTTTAATTTACAATTTACATACAATGTTCTAATAATGTAACAAAGCGTAAGTTAATGAAAATTGTAATAAAGAGAGTTGGTAAATGATTACAGGAGTCAATGGCATTAGTATGGGTATGAAACTGCCAGTTCATTCGTTTATAAATATTCACGATTTTGACACAAGTGCGTTTGGTACGCAATACCTCAGAAGACGAAAGACTAACCTAGACGTAATAGAAGAATCCGGTCATATTTGGATTTGAATAAAACCAACGATTGCGTTGAGAAACATCGAAAAAGGTATCGTACGGAAAAATCGTTGTCAGATTCGAATAATTTACAATATTTCTCTATACCTTTTTTTTTTTTTATTCTCTTACTATCGTTCGATTGGAATATTCGAAATGAAACTAGCTGGTTATTGCGAGCTCGCGAGTAGGGTTGTTCTTGCTCGCTTCCCATAGCCAGCTTTCACAGTGCATGATACAAAATGAGGTGTTCCGTTAAAAAAATCATGTTGACCTTGACGTGACTTTGACCGGTCCTTTGCAGGTGAAACGGACACGATCGTTGAATAGAATTTTTGAAACCCTAAAACATTTCTCTAAACCATTTTTCTCACAAATGTTCCATTTTCGAAATATTTGACTGTTTCTATACTTTTGGAGCACCCTGTATGTATATGTATACATATACATGTGTTATACATATGCATACAAATGTAATAATAGTAATATACATGTGTTATACATATGCATACAAATGTAATAATAGTAATATACGTATATATATTATTTCCGTTTAGTTATTCGTTCATAAATATTTATTCTCCCATCTAGATTGCGTTATTGAGTTAAGTTTTCTTAAAAAAACTAAAAAATTACTGGACCGAATTAGAGCAAAGTCTAATCAGCTTTAAGTTAGATCGATACACATTGATTGCATAATCGACCATTTTGATCTCGTTATTAGTTTTTTAGATAAGGTTAATGAAAAATTTGTTTACATACGCACGCACGCACGCACGCACGCACGCACGCATCCCTATAAATCGGGAAGTTAAAAATATTGTGTGTTGAAATCTGAATTTCAAGTACAGTAAGAGCCCGCTTATGATGAAAAATTGATTGATATTTTTATCGTTTAACGTGGGTCTCCATATGCAGCAATCATATTTGTAACATATTGGAAATTGTATTATTGTATGTATTGTTAATTCTATCAAGTTTAGAACATATTTTATAATGGTTAACATTGTTTGTAACTATTGGTTACAATAACAAATGAAAAGTATGAAATGATAAAGCAAGTGACGCGATACGTTGACACGAATTTGGAAGATTTCGACGAAAGAGTTTGACAAATAATTTCCAGAGCATAAGAAACAGTTGTTGTTGGTATTCGATTCGAGATGTATCTCTGTCGCTGTGGCTGCCTTTTGTACGATTGAAACTTGAAACGAAAGCGAAAGGGGTCTGGTGTTTAGCGTTTCACGCGCCGCAGTTGGCCACTCCCAGAACATTAATACGAGCGTATTTACCATAGGAGATGGAGGGCTATTCCCGACAGGATTGGTCGGTAAGGCTGCTAAAAAAAAAAGTTTTCGGTACTTTTTCTTATAGATGTCACTATAGACGACGATCGTTACTGTTACCGTGCGGGTGGTAATTTGTTTAAATAGTTGGTCGATACTTAACTAGCGAAACTTGTTTTTTGAAAGCATTAACAATTATTATCATTATATATAATTTCAATGACGTATCGTGTAATAAAGAAAATGGATCATTAGGAAGAAATGTATCTTTTTCTATAAATTTTATTGGAGAAAAGTTAATGGGAATTTGATCGATCCCAGTGACAATAGTAGGATTTACCAAGCTAAATGACACCCGTGGCTTTTCTGTATTGACCAAAGTGTTCCAAATATTGTTGTATAGTATCCATGGGTTGATAAATATCGTTCATTCGGTTCTGCAATAATAAAAAACGCATACTATAAGCGTAGTTTTGGTTTACCTTTGACTCGTTGGTATGGTTTAAACTTTGAACGCAACAGTAAATTTTCTGTAATTCGGTTCTCGACGATAACGATTTATATCACCTGCAAATATTGCGGGGCTTGATTCGAAACTATAGGCCCGAGAAATCCTTGCAAAAATTCACGCATCAATTCCCACGCACTTCCCGGAACGACGCAGGGTCTGTATTCCACCTATACAAGAAAAAATTGCATCGAAACAAAATTGATCGAATCGTAACCGGAAGATGACGTTTTGTTGCGATATGAAGTGGTGGGATCGGAAAGGTGTAAAAGTAATGACTTTTTTTTTCCTAAAATGTATTATAGGTTATTTTGAGAATTATGGGCATGGTCGTAAAGTGATTGTAACGCTGTATCATGTCAACTTGGTTTGCCTTCGATAATGCAATCGTCGGCGTCCGCGTCCGCGTCGCGTCGCGTCGCGTCGGAAGCGAAAGTTGTATAACTTTGGTCAGAGTTGGATAGAGCAGATAGAACGTCTTTTCGACGTTCGGGCAGGATGATCTCGATCTGCGATCACGTCGAAAGGAGCAGGTCGATTGGTCGATACTTGTTTTGGGTGGTGTTGTTCGCGACTCGGACGCAACGCCAATTTTCGTTTGACGTTGCGCAGCATTGGGAAAATTGAATGTAGTCGCGGGGGTATAGCGTCGGGGTGAATTTAACCGACCTCGACGAGTACGCCTTTGAAATTTTGATTGATCGTGACACTGCCAAGTTTCACGCAAAAGTCGCCAATCTCGAATCGTGGTCCCTTGGACTCCATCTTCTGCATCTTGTTTGTGTAGATGCTAGATATCTTGTACATCAAAAGATCGAATAGACCATCGGCGATCAACGGCACCACCTTGTTGCCTGACTCGAGGATGGCGAACACCGATGCAGGTTGCTCGGAATTGTGAAGAACGTGCAAGGTTCTCTGTACGCCTAGAAAAATAAATAATAGCGATTAGAGGTGGGATGGTCCGAAATGAAATGAAATGAAATGAAATGAAATGAAATGAAATGAAATGAAATGAAGTGAAATGAAATGAAATGAAATGGTTACTTAAATCTCCAATGGGGGGATTTGTTAGTCGAGAAGCACGTTTTCGTCGTTGATACAAGGATAAACGCATCGCACGTACTCTGATTTGTGACCTATTTTCCCTCGAAATTTGTCGAAAACAATGCGAATACTCGGTACGCGATTCAGAATTAACGAATAGGCTGATTAGAAGCGTCCTGTCCGCTTCCCCCGAGCCTCACCGTTCCCTCGAATCCCCGGTTTCCGGGGTGATTCGCACCAGTGCTCGTATACGGCCGTATGACGCGCCGCATGCCGCATGCCGCATGTCGCATTCCGCATCGTCTGCATCGCGCGTATGCACCGCTATACGGATGCACAGGCGCCGCATGAACCGCAAACGTGATCCGACAACCCCTTGCATCCGTAAGGATTATCGAGTAATACTAATAACATCTTATCGGTGCGACGCGATACGACGCGACATGGACGCAATGGAACGCAACGATACCGAAATAAATACATGGACGTACGGTTAATTTAACATCGTGTCGCTTTGCACGGAGGGAGTTTTACTCGCGGTACATGTGTAGATATCGATTAGAAAGAGAAGGATTCGTTTCGTACGGTGAATTTCTCGTGTCTCTCGCGTCTTTATATCTGTCGGAAGTAACTATGATTCTGAAAAGGTGATGGTATGCATACGAGTAGCTGTATTATATGTAGTATCCGAGATCAATCCCCGAGAAATCATGGCTAAGTAAGTGGCCAGCTCCTCGTAGTTCCCGCTGCGAGTATCCCTTCAGGGAGGAAAAGCCAAGAATCAGCTCTGAATCATCGTAGAGAATACACAAAAGAAAACGTTCTTACGATCCATGCGATCACACTTGAATCAAAGTTTTGCCGCGCAGCGCGAACCTCTCTCTCTCTCTCTCTCTCTCTCTTCTTAAACATTTCGTCCCCTTTGGTTATACCGCGTAAGGGTGAGAGCTCGAATAGTTTCCTAAACTATCGACTTTGATAATAATGTTAGGGCTTAAGGAACAAGTAAAAGAGTGTCAGTGATCGATAAAGAGCTCGGCTCGCGCGTACCATTCCGCCTTTTAATTTCATGTCTAGGTTAGGTGCTGCGTCGCTTCAAGATTAATAGAAAAAAAGGTAAAGGAATAATAAAGGTACATAGGATCGTTCGTTCTGGATTACGGAATTTGTTCGGTGGTAGAGCATCTTTTCTCGTTGACGATAACGGTCGGGACTAGAATCATCTGCGCGCCGCGCACCCCTTGTTGTCCGTTCTCTCCCCTCGACCGAGCCCTGATTCCATTGTATTTTGTATCCTTTTTCGACTCGGACTTGAAAACGAAAAAACCTCGGACCAAGAGCCAGGGACGCAATTATCCTGCATTCAGACTGCGACCGATAGCTTCGATCCTTTTTTCGGGGGGGGGGATTCTTGTGTCCTGGATGGGCGGCGATGTTCTATCGTGGAGTTTAACTCGCTATGCTTTTCTACCAGAGATTCAATGATATTGCTCGATCGAATAGAGTACATATTCTCTTCTCGTTAACACAGCCACTTTAAAAGCGTATTTGTTTGTAATTTGTTGGTCGTTATGTACGCGTACGCACTAGGCATACGCATGCCCGTGAACGATAAACGAGGCTCGAATGAAAGTACAGAAAATTAGCAATTGGCAATTTCGAATTGGGCATGTCGAAAGTGCAGCGTTCCTCGCGGCGCGGGGGTTTGGCCGACATCGACGCCGACGGGCCGATCTCGGGACGGGGCGAGCGTTGCGCAGGGGGTTTCCGTGCGCGATGCCACAGCCAACCGACTGGTAGTATCCAGGGGGCTGTTTTCTCCCTCTCAGTTGGCCGCGATTCAGCGCCGGGTGTATGTCCCGTTCGTCGCGGGCTAGAGCGACGCGACGCGACGCGACGCGACGCGACGTCGACGCGACGCGACGCCGACGCGAGAAACACGAGAGTCGTGTTCCGTTGTTGTCTTTCCCGATTAATCGCGTTACGCTAGAAACGCTCGAGTCTTGCATTTTTCGTCATCTCGAGTTGGATTAATCGAGTGTCGAATGAAAAGGTGCCAGAAGTCTGAAAAGAGGCCAGCCGAACAAAGCGGAAAAGGACGAGAATCGAAGGAAAACGGGATCGAGAGGTCTTATTTTGAACCGTCAAACTATCAACGCGTTTTACGCAGAATCATCTGTTCGAATTGAATCGGTTCAACGTTTGCACGTGAACGAGTTATCAGGGATGATCGGATGTTGACAACGTTGGACAGAGTTCGTTTCTACGAGTATTCGTTTAATCGATCGAAATAAATAACGTTGCCGTTTCCGCGTCGTGACCGAGCGAACCGAGTTTCCGAGTGGCGGTGGCTGAAAGATTGATTGCGTTAAAGAGGAACTGGTGCACGATCGCTTTACCCGTTCTCGTTCCCGTTCCCGTTCCCGTTCCCGTTCCCGTTCCGATCGAGCTGCGTTTCGGGGGCGTCGAACTAGCTAGTGTTTCCAGCCAGCGAATCAATTTCTACGTGACCAATCGACCCGCACGGAATACGCCATCGCCAGTCGGGACGATTGTAATTAACATCTCTCGATCCCTTTTCCAAAATTTGCCTTTTAAGAGTTTGCCGAACGAATAACAGGCATCAGGATTTTCCAGGGATAACGACCACCTCCGGTCGTATAAAAAATAATCGATAAATACCAGGTTCCTTTCCACTCTGTCAGCTTCGAGTTGAACTTGTTCTCGACGAAAGCTTCTCTAGTCTCGACCGAGTCGCAAGATAAAAGTCGGTTGGTTTTAACAGAGAAACAACTCGGTAGTCGGTAGTCGGTAGTCGGTAGTCGGTAGTCGTCGAGAAAGACGACGAGTACTCGTCTCGCACTCGTCTAGGTGCGTAGAATAAGTCTCCAGGGACTGAGAGTATAGAACGATCGATTCCAACTTGGAGGATAATTGCTAAAGCCACTGCACCAGTCGCTTCCTAGGCTGAACGGCTGGCTGGTTCTCGGTGGTAATGCATCGTGAAAGGGTGGCTGCGTACTCCAAGATTGTGCCCGATCGCGTCTCGAGTATGAAAGGCACGCGTTACTCTTGAGCGAACCGGGTCGTTCGTGTTCCTTTTCAGCTGCTCTGCAATTAATAACGACGACTTTCGATGACACGGTGTTCTCGAGTGACCTGGATAAGTGTCCGATCCCGATCCCGATTGATAGTCGATTCGAACCGGAAATTAGCTTTCAAGAAAATTATCGAGGATATTTCCTAGGGCCGAGACGATGCTCCGGAAAGGCAAGAACCTAAATGGGGTAGCATGGAATCGCGAAAAAGGCCCGATAGATTTCCAAACAGTTGCGAATGCTTGTATTTTTAAAAAAAGTTTGAAAAGTCAATTTACATGGCACACACTACAGTGTTAGTAGCAACTAATTGTATCCGATTACGTATGATATAATCGTCGGATATAAGCATCGTTTGGCTGTAGCCGTCTGCGTCTCCGGCACACCTCTGGCTGCTCTCGAGGTATCGACACGGAGTTTCCAGTCTGCCGCTGACAGTTAAATTGTTTAACGATTACGTGCAGTGACGAATGACTATCATTGGTTGGACTATTAATCGGAGATTTGATCGACTATTCGATTACCTGCTCGAACAGGTTCTATCGCCGCGCCGTTACTCGGCCGATTTGCTTTTTTACGAGTTTACAAATGCTTGCCAGGGCACTCGTCTTAAAACTGATCGCGTGAGCACGTGGTAGATAGTAATTTAAGAGCGGAGAAACCTTTACGAATATTCTCGATGTAGCTGTAGCTGTTGGAATTTCGAGTACAATTAAAACGGTGATTTCTCCTTTGATTCTCCTTCCAATTGGCTAGGTCCCCAAAGAAAACGTAATTCGAACTCTCTGGATTATCCTAGTACATATCGCGTTTTGCGTGAACGCATTTTCATCGGTGCGGCCGGAGCTGGGACCTCCCATCGGTCTCGACCACAAAATTCCTAGCAGCGAACAATAATTTAAATTAATCGCCGACGCAGATACAACTGATTTAATGCGCGGCTTAATCTGCCTGCTGACACGTTCAGCGTGCGACTCGCGATGAGTTACGGCAATTCACGTGCAAGACAAGATCCATTTACAACGGAGACATTTACGGATTAGCCGAGTACATAGGGTGCCCTCCGTACCTCTGTCTTGGTGCGACGACGAGTGAATTTCCGGATCGACATTACAAAAAACACGCCTTGTTTTCGACAGATTCACACGACGAACCTCGTGTCGAATCGATGCCTATTGACCGTTTTCTTATGCAAACTTTACTTATGGGTATGGGTTAGCTAAATATATTATTGTATATTAGATACGGCACCATTTACGCACGATCACGATATTCTAATGAAATAAATACCACGCTACCCGTGATACCTGCTCGTTCGTATTTTCGCTGAAAAATAACTTAATAATTTTCCGTGCATCAAAATGGTCGACTAATCCGTCGGTAATTATGGTAAATGGGATCGCATCGATGATGCGTCGCGTCGACTCGCGTCGATTGAATTATCACCGTCTGCCAGAAACAGTGCCGGACTTGGTGACCCGATATCGCACCAGAACCTTTCGATATTGGCAGCAGCACTTCGGCCTCTCAGGAACGAAGAACAATAGGAGCACACCGGCGTGTGTGCCGACCGCTATCTGCACCTACCTCTGTCCCGTTTTGCTTTCGCTCAACTTTCCGTCGAGTTTCACCCTCGATCGTCGGGGCCATGTCGTTTTGCGCCGCATCCTCGACGTATTTCGATACACACGTCACCCACGAGATCCCAGACCTTCGTCCTCTGCAAAACGATTGCATCGCGCGTGAAAATAGCCGAGCTACCCTCCCGCTTTGCGTTTTTTTCTCGGCGATGCTTTTCGATGCTACTCGATACACAGTTTTAAAAGCAGTGGTAAGGATAGCAAAGATCGACTCGTAGAATGATCAGAAAACTCGAAAATCGACGAATGTCTACCGAATTTAGATTCTCCTTTGTCCCGCTTCATCCGAGACAATTTTCAAAGCACCCGGTACGTGGTCGAGGCTGGTTAGTCGAAAGATTCGTACGAAAGAAAATGTTATTAAGCGGCCTGGGGGGTGGACTGGAGGAGGGAGATTTTTGCACGCATAGCCAGCCACGGTGACGTTCGCGTCGTCGCCGCCGCTAATGGACCGCGAGTATTTTACAGGCGAGGCTAAAAGCTCCGAGCCATAAAAGTGACGTTTCGTGTACAGGCTATTTATTCGCGCGCAACGCGAGCTGCTACGAGCGTTATTTTTCGCGCCACGGTAACGATAACCACGCCAAGAGGAGTCGCGATTTTCATTTCGATCGAGTCGCGAAATGTTCTGAATCGAGAATGACACGCAATCGGAATCGCAATCGCAATCGCAATCGCAATCGCAATCGCAATCGCAATCGAATCCCGAGCGGTACTTGACGTTACGTTTACGTTACAGAAAAGAGGTTAATAGGTTAATAAAATAGAGATTGTTCTTATAGTTTGAGATAGATCCATCAAGTACTATAAGAAAAGGAGTTTAGATTTTTTTTTATCACGGAATCTATTTAAGAAAAGTTTCGCGTAGGTACTTGACGCGTAAACTCTAGCTCGCAACACTTTGGCGTACGAGATTGGCGCACGTAGAACCATCGATCCTTTCATATGCTAAATTCTTAACAACTCTAATTGCCTCTGTTTGCGCGCAATCGTATGTACCCGATAGCCGATATCCGATAACCGATTACCGATTACCGATTACCGATTACCGATTACCGATTACCGATTACCGATTCGACACGTTCGTAGAGCGCTATAAGCCAACTTGTGCTTTCGTAATTAGGTGCGTATGCTACTTCTCCACCGACTAGCGATGACCATTTCAAAATAATCGTGAATTAGCATTTATCGGTTCTCGAGACGCGGCCTTTGAACAACTCGTCCCGTCCGGTATACACCGCGACCAACAGATCTTTCTTCGCAAACTTGTTTACAACCTGTCGATAATGCGTGCTTTTTTAAATTTCTCTTCATTTATTCTCCTTTAGAATATAAGAATAAAGCGCTTGTCCAATCTACTTGGTTCTAACAGCTAACAGCTTTACCCTAGGACTCGTTAAAATCTCGTAATTTTGCTGAAAGTCTAGCTAGAATCGGTCGCCTCGCGATTTCACGAGATAGAGATCGAGCTACCGGCTACGGTCGAAAGTTTAATCGATGGATACGCTGCTTCTCGCAGGAGAATCTCTTCAAAGATCCAAGAAGAAAATCAGAGGTGAAGCATGAGGACGTCGACGGGAACATAGTCGGGTCATAGTTGATAATCCGTTTGACGCGACGACTACTAGAAAAGAAATCGACGATAACGAGGAGAGATCTAAGATTCGCTACGGTAATCTTGACAATAATCAAGTAAGACTGACGCGAGCGAAACGATTAATCGCGACAAGTAGAAAAATAAGAAAGAAAAGAAAAGAGGAGAGGAGAGAGCAAACGATCGATTCGAAAAATGGTATATTTTCGTGTCTCGTTTTTTCGCCAAAAAACCTAACCTCGAACGCGATGGGTCGCAAAAGGTGATTAATAGAAGCTCGGAGAGCCCAGGGATTGACTTTGACTGCAATTTCGAGGAAAAAGAAATATATAGGTGTATATACATATACGTATACATATACATATACATATACATATACATATACATATGCATATACAATAGATGTACAATACATGTTCGAGTGCCTCTGAGAAGATTACCGCGCGCTACTGCGACACTTTTTGTCCGAGAAAGGGTGGCGTGGCTGAATCCAGAGAGACGAAGAGATGTCACTGAATCACAGATATTACGTGAGTATCAGGCATGCTAGCCTTCACAGCTTTTAAACTTTCCGAGAGAAGATCAAGTTGGATGTTTTATTTTCCCATTTAGAACGTAGTCTAGTCATCGGTTCAAACTGCTTACATTAAATTACCAATACGTATGTTTAGTTTTATTATATGTTTATACATATAATACAAAGTTAATGCATCAGAGGGTTAGCTTACGATTTCAAATGCATCGATGAACGAAAAAACATGAACGTTACATAGTTCCTTTTCCATAAGTATATGTAGTATTTGTTTCCGCGATAGCGCAACATCTCGCTTAACATGTTTTCCGATAGGAACCTTGTTATATTCCCTTTATTTTTCGCAAGTGGAACTTTTCAGTCTTAAGAGTCCAGAACGAGTTGCCGTGACGAATAAACGAAAACGGTCAGACCTAACCGATGCAAAAGTCGGTTACTGGGTTGAAATCTGAAATCGTTTCGAAGCCAAAAGACACGGTTACGTCGCGTCGCATCCGGACTTTGAAAAGTAGGAAACCTAGACAAAGTTTCGCGTTTCGAGCACTGCTCGAGGAGAGGTACGCTATCGTCGTTACATTTCATGCCAATACACAGAGTACACGTTAGCCCTCAGGGGCCGTAGTTGTGTTTGATCGTAGCTGCGGTACGGGTTTAGCGATCCCGAGGTACCCGAGCTAGTTAGTAACGCTATTTCCTATTATAGCAAGCGAGTGAGAAATTTGGCATAGACTCGAAATTCTTTACAATCTCTCCTCCAATCAATTAATTTTCATTTCTAATCGCGAGAGCCAAATATTTACGATTTTCACCGGTGCGTTTTACCGCGATCTCAAGGAATTCGTACGCGTCATCGTTCAGCCGTTACATGGAAATACCCTTAACGAGATTTTTCAGTTGTACGGTGATTGTTTAACGGGGAGCGTTTCGTATATAGGAACGAATGGCAGATCACCGAGCGGTGGGGTAACAAAGTTCAAATAAAACCGTGCCAAGCAGATCCGATAATCTCGACTCTCGACATTTCTCGGCCGAGTCTCGATTGTTTATCGAGATTAATCGATGGTCGTCGCGGTACAGGAGAAAAAGAAGCAAAACGAATCTCTCTCTTCCTCTGCGTAAATCCGCAGCGGATATAGCATAGCACCGCGTCCTGAAACCGGAGGGGGATGATCGCGAGCGAAGAGGGGGATGGTTGGGCTCGCACTGCCAAAACCCGCGACCTAGATACCGATCGACCCACCGACACACATTAGACGGGCTGGGTGCAGAACGCTCCGAGAAAGAGACGGACGGACAACTCGCCTCTTTGCACCGCGTATGCTGCGTTAACAACTCTCTCTATGTATATCACTCTCGATTTTCTTTAAACAGTTTCCTCTTTCTTCTCTATTTACATTTCTTTCTTGATTTATCGTTAATCGTTAATCGTTAATCGTTTATCATTTATCGTTCATCGTTTTGCGACTTTTAAGTTCTCGACAATTTGTTCTCGAGGAACAAAATACCGTCTTCAAGGGTGAAAAATGCTAATATGTACTTGCATACTTTCTCCGACTCTAATTATTTCATATAAATATCAGGTATAAGTGGTATTTTCTCAAGTAAACAAGAAAAAAGTGTCCTTTTCCTTGAAGTTTTTCATTGAAAAAGTCAAGAGTGTAGCATTCGTCGAACCGGTTTACATTGCGCGTGCGTTGTCGTGTAAGCGGCTGTGTATTCGCGTTGAATACGCGTGAATCTCGACGCGATGCGTGACGCGACAGCCGATGCCCAATGCCCGATGCCCGATAGCCGATCCTAGACAGCAGAGCCACGAGTTAGTTCCGCCTCGATGCGTCCGCAGCCGCACTTGGCGTACAGAGTGCACTTAAAGCGGAGCTGCATCAGCGACTGCTTCCTCTCGCGTTAAACGCGGAAGCCAAGCGTAGACGAAGCTTCGAACGGTGCGCGCATACCGCTCGGAATAGAATCGCGGTTACGCCGCGCCGCACCGGCCGTTCGGAGGTCCGCGAGTCGCGAGTAAAAATATTCGAACCGGATTCGTCGATGCGTTCCAGTCGCTCTTACATCGAGGTTTTCCTTAAAAATCACATGATACGTACGCGTACTATCGTAGGTGGTAAACTTGGAGAATGGTAGCTTTATACTGCAATTTGTCACTCGATCGGGTAACGGAAATTCTCGCAAACTGACGTTTAAACCATTCGACGTACGATCGGATCGCGTTTCGTTTTCCAAACAAGGTTAAATTCTGAATAGAGGTGAGAGATGTTTAAATACGCGTGTACGCGTCGCGATTACCGAGGTAACCGTTAACAGTCGTAGTCGTTGGCATCTTGTTCCAAGTTGCGTTTAAAATATAGTAGTGCTACACATATTTTAAAAATGATTAAACTGCTAATAGATAATCGGAAATTTGCCATTTTAACGTGTTGAATTAACGTTCGGAATTCAGCACGGCTGCACCCTCCTGGTTGCAGTTAATCAGCCGTCGCGATAAACTTAACCCTTACAAGTTTGTGGGACAATCCGTTTATGCATATTACTGTTCTAAATGTGACGTTGGGTTATAGGACTTCGTATCTCGTCAAATTTAATGCGGTTACGAGAAAGTTGAAGATTCCGCGAGACCACGCGATCGAGAGCACCGATAGCCAGACCGGAAATGCGATTCTTCTTTTCCTTTTTTCCTTTTTCCTCCTTCCTTCTTACTTTTTACTTTTTACTTCTTACATCTTATTTCTTTACACAATGGGCGAGTTCGTGTGTCCGAAGCGATGCACGCACACGACGCCGACGAAGCCGACATGGCCAATGTTTCGATTAAATTTAGGACACCGGTTATAAATTTAGCTTCTTATACACGACATCTCGGGTATACGTGACGTTTTAAACGAAACTGGAGAGCGCGATGAGCGAGGTTCGCGGCGTTATTCCGCCTTAACGATCTGTCGATAATAGGCCTGGAGGGTCATCGAGAGAGGAAAAAGGAAACCGAGGATTGGCCAGGGTGCCAAGATTCAGCGCAGCTGGGTCAGCCAGTCGAGAGGGTTGCTCCCGTTGTGTTCCGATATGCGACCACGGTGTAAAGAGACAGAGTGCCCGAAACAGCCCCATCGCATCGCTTCGCGCCGCGTTCTCTACGTGCTTTCGCGCTGTGTTAATAATTCCTCCGAGCTGAGCTTCCGCAAGAGAAAGAGGATCCGGTAGGGGCCAACGTGCCAACAACCTATCTGGCACTGCTCCCTTTTCCAACAGATTATGCCACTCGGTTAAGGATTTTTTGACATTTGTTTGCACTCTTTCGCGACCGTTTGTCAAATTTACTTGGAAACACATAGACTCGCGTGGTTGCTTTTTTATACAAGCCGCGATCCTAAGCCAAATCCGTTTCGTTGCAACGCTCTGCTATACTTTTTATAACCGAGCAACGGTTCCGTTTCGTTCCATTCCGTTCCGTTTACAACAACGAGTTGAGAAACCAGTAACAGAGAAAGACAATCTTTTCCCGACAAAACGTCTTGGAACGAAACATCCATTTCTATCAACTTTTGTAAATCCATCCATTTCTTCAAATTCGAATACTCTTGTCCCGACTAGCTTTTTCCATTTCTTTATCGGATTTCTAGTTTTATTCTCCGATTCGCGTTCCGCATCGGACTCGTCGTTTTCCATTCGTTCCGATACATATCTCTAATCCTGATATTCCCGAATCGCAACACAAACATTTGAAAAACTCGATGCAGCTGCGAACGAAATAATGGAAAGTGGATCCGATTGAATGGGAAACGTAAAACTCGATAAAGTCCGCGACTGTTCACCGCGATTACCCGAATTCACAGGGTTGTAGCTTCAACGTCTGTTAAAAGTGAAAACGAATCGATAGTTGTCGTACAGATGATTTGCTTTATACTCGGTCAGAAATTGTTCTCAATTTCGAGTGACGAATCCGGGAAATCTCTTAATCGACACACCGAATGGATTTGTCACGTCGGCGTCGGCGTCGGCGTCGGCGTCGGCGTCGGCGTCGGCGTCGGCGTCGGCGTCGCGTCCATTTCATTGAAAGCGAGCATTCGAGCTGCGAGGAGCATCGCAGTCTGTTATCCTACATTCTACTTTAATCGACGTACTCTTGCTCAAAAACATCATCTCGGACGTTTAACAATTATTTGAATAATCCAATAATAAAGACAGTTGCGTTGTATTCAATGTGTATCGAGCAACGTTACAAATTGCACATGTTGCATTTTTTCTCTTATACTACATATACGTACGCACGTATGTACCGTCGCGTCGGCTTTTTCCAATCTCGTTGTATCCAGTATCTAACCACAGTATATCCAAGAGCACGCTCGCTAGGATGACCGTTGGCGTATTATGCGAAGCCGCGATAGACTCCCATTGTCCAAGAGGCGGTTAGGTCGATAGTTATCATGTTGGTCGGACGGAGGAATAAGAATCCTTTGAAAGATCCAGGAGAAAAGGCGGGTTAGAGGTACGATGACTGACGCACGGCTGGTCGAGGGCTGCGAGATGCGAGATCCGCCACAACCACAGTCACAGCCACGGCCACGGCCACAGCGTCAGGATGCATCAGTGGAGTAACGAGGTCTATACAGAGAACGGGGTTAAGCTGCGCGAAGGTAAGACGTGATTTATGAAACAATTTCCCGTATCCCGAGAGGCTCGTCTCGTCTCGTCTCGTCTCGTCTCGTCTCGTCTCGACCGGCCCGGCTCGGTCTAGCTTCAAACTTACTCGCGGCTAGAACGAACAGTGACTTCCAACGCAAACTCGTTCAACAATTCGAACCCCTTAACCCTATGATCGTTTCGCCCGAGTTTCATTTTTTTATGGAAACCTTCAATCTTGTAACGTCAAATACGATAACGCGTTTGACTAATTAAACCGTATACAGGTCATCAGCGAGGGTATTTACAGCAGTCCGGCATACTCCATTTTCCTCGTGTAAATTTTGTTTCGTTCAGGAAGTAGCTTGA